CTATTCCAGCTCTTTTTGGCTACAGTTTTACAGGAAATCATTTTCTATTTATTGCTTTCAACATATTTGTGTTTTTTGGTATAAAGTGAGTTAATAATAATACTAACTTTTATGTTTACCTATATAATTACTCTTCACAGGGATCTTTATTTCTTAATATGGTTTTGATTTATTTTCTAGTGTCCTTTTGTTTCACCCTCCAATAATTTCCTTCAACATTTCTTTTAAAGCCATTAGGAAGAACTGAGCTTTTGTTTTGTCTTGAAATGCCTTATTTATTCTTTATAGACAGAAAATAGATTTCTATACAAATATTATTCTTTTAATGATATGTATTTTAAATAGTAGATTAGGCCCATTTGCAATGGAAGTTACTAGCTACATTGAAGATTTTACTTCTACTATTGTGCTATTTCTTTTTATGTTTTATATATTTTTTGTTCTTCATTTCTTCCAAATTTGTCTTACTTTTGTTTGATTATTTTTTTCAGTGAACTGCTGATTCTTTCTTGATTGTTTTATTTGAATATGTTTAAGTTTCTTTCTTAGTAGGTAACATAGAAAATTCTGTCAATATTCTTAATTTACAACAACCTATTGTGAATTTGTGTCAGATTATCTTCATATAGACATATTCATATATTTTATATATGATGTTATCTTCATTCCCATCCAGTTCAATTTCCCCCTTATATTATTATTGTTGTCAAAAATACATTTTTATACAACATGTGCCCATTAACATAGATTTATAGTTGTTATTTTATGCATTTAATAACCATATTTAAACTAAAGGGAAAATTACATATACAATACAATAATACTAACGTTTATGTTTACCTATATAATTACTCTTCACAGGGATCTTTATTTCTTAATATGGTTTTGATTTATTTTCTAGTGTCCTTTTGTTTCAGCCTCTAATTCGTTCCTTCAACATTTCTTTTAAAGATATGAGGAACACCTCAGCTTTTGTTTTGTCTTGAAATTCCTTATTTATTCTTTATATCTAAAGGATAGTTTTGCCAACTGTAGAATTCTTAGTGAAGAGCTTTGCTGTGTTCGGCATTTTAAATATTTTATTCCAGCAATTATTGTCCTCCATTCTTTCTGCAGAAAAATCAGCTGCCTCTCTTATTGAGAATCTTTTATCTATGATGGGTCCCTTGTCTCTTGCAGGTTTGAACAATCATTCTTTGTCTTTGGTTTTTGACAGTTTGATTAAAATATACCTTTAATGAGTTTCCCAGGTCTTATTGCTTGTGGAATTTATTAAGCTCCTTGGATGTGTAGGTTTATGACTTTCATTGTTAGTGAAAAAAATTTTAGCTATCACTTATTCAAATATTTTCCCCCTTTCTTTCTCTACACTTTTTGTACTCTCACAACGTGTATATTGATAAACTTAATATATATCTGTAAGTCACATAGGCTCTGTGCACTTTTCTTTTCTTTATTTTCCTATTTGCCATTTTGGCTGGATAATTTCTGTACTCCTGTCATCATGTTTGCCAATAATTTCCTCTGCATGCTTGATTATGATGTTTAACTTCTGTGATTAAAAAAAAATTCCAGTTGTTATATTTTAGCTCCAGAATTCTTTCATTTTCCCCCTTTCTTTCTCTACACTTTTTGTACTCTCACAACGTGTATATTGATAAACTTAATATATATCTGTAAGTCACATAGGCTCTGTGCACTTTTCTTTTCTTTATTTTCCTATTTGCCATTTTGGCTGGATAATTTCTGTACTCCTGTCATCATGTTTGCCAATAATTTCCTCTGCATGCTTGATTATGATGTTTAACTTCTGTGATTAAAAAAAAATTCCAGTTGTTATATTTTAGCTCCAGAATTCTTTGGAATTTTTTGCAATTTTAAAATTATTTTCTTCTCATTGTTGATACTTCTGACTTTTCAGTACATTTCTCTCCAAGTTTTTCTTAGTTGCTTATCTATAGATTCCTTCATATCTAAGAGTATATGTAAAATATTTAACTTAAATGTTTCATCTAGCAAATTTAATCTAGAGGCTTCTGTAGGGATGCTTTCTGTCAAATTCTTTTATTGACTATGAATGTATCATATTACTTGCCTCTTTGTTGTGCTATTATTTTGACAACTGAACATTTAATATAATGCAATGTATTAGTCCTGAAATAAGGAATTTTCCTCTTCTAGCAATTGTGGTTGTTACTGGATGAAAGTTACAGAAATCCATTTGTTTTGTGACATTCACAAAGTATTTTTGTAAATATTTATCTTAAGTGATTACATAAATCACTTTTCTGTTATTTCTTCAATCACTAGGTGACTTAGTAAAATGTTATTAAATCCCTGAATCAATTATTAAAATTAAAAAAATTTTTTTCTACTGATTAGAAATACCATTCAGGAAGTTTGTTTACCCTTGGAGAACTGAAACAATAACTAACCTCTGTATTGTTCCCTAGGCAATCAAAAGACACAACCCTAATTTTTGAAGGAAAAAAAGTTCCCAAATCCACACTGAGAACAGCAAGTTTTGCTAGCCACACAGTACGGTATCTTGAAAACCACCTACCATGGAGCAGGGGTATGAGGAATGTTAGTTTCTATACAAGATGTCAAATTTATGAGATACTTTTTATTATTATTATTCAATCAGTAGCTCCTGTGAATTCTCCAAGTATTTGACTAGATTCTACAGTCCCAAAATTGTTTCTATAGACAGATTACACAAGGTCAATTCAATGTTTTTTTGGTGCATAAACAATTCCTGCATCTCTTAATCTAATATTTTTGTGATATTTATCCTGTAATGCCATTATAGAAATAATAGTGCCTTAATCTATGACATGAAATGTTTTTTCATGTATTTAAATTTTGTCAATTTCTTTCAATATTGTTTTATATAGTCTAGTTTCATTATGATACACTGTGTATATAATCACTTAATCTCCAAATTCACTACAACACTATGAGTGTACTGCTTTTATTACTGACTTAAAATAATTTTCACTTTATGAGCTTAGGAAATTGTGAAGCTGATAGTAGTAAGGGAGTTGGCTGATCCAGTCTAGAAAGTAGAGATTTTGAGATGGTTTATTTATTAATGGTCCTTATTATATAATATTAGACATTGCATAGGTATCCAGAGATTATTAGAACATCAATAAATTAATATAGACCTTTGACCTGATTAGAAAACAGTATTCTTCTGTATATTTATAACACTCTGTACTCAATATTTTAAAACTGGTTCCTCTTTTTGTCAATTCTATGTCATATTATCTCAGTCATCAATACAGTTTTTTGTTCTTGTCAATTCCTCTTATTATCTCATCTTTCAGTACATGAGAATTCCATTCAATTAGTCCCTTATCTTGGTGTCTGCATTATCCTTACTCTCACATTTGTGCCACATGGAAAGTTACTGACTAAACTCTCTGTCTTTGTGACTGCCATTTCTCTTCAATTGGTATATTCCTATTTATTTCTGCAGTTGTTACCTAGAATAAGTTACCTGTTGCCTTTCATGCTTTGATCCCATCTTGTCCTTATTAAGCAATTCTCTGTCACTAGACTCATTCCTAGATTTTGTTACCAAATGAATTTCATACACTTTCAACTTCATAATGAGTCTGTGTGAAGTTTTGACAGAGCGAGAGAATTGTAAACTTTTAATTCAGACTTTTAGCACTTTTTGTGATATTGTCTTAATTTGCCTATTGCTATTAACTAAAAATGCTTGTTTATAAATAAAATTAATAAATGATGACTTAATCATATAATGGGTCTATTTGTCTCAAATACAAGGAGTCTTATGGTGGGACAGTCCAGTGATAATATGGTAATCCAGATGCATCAGAGGAACAAGTGTCTTCCATTTATCTCCTCCATATTCTATATACAGGCTTTCATTTCCATGACTCATGTCCCAAGATAAGGTTTATCTAACCTTCTCCTTCACAGCTGTCCTTTGAGGAAGAAGAAGAAAAAAATAGTTGGGCATGCTTAGTCTGAATGTATCATCCAGGTTCATTTGCTATAAAATGAATTTCCAATGAAACAGACTTCCAGGTTCATTTGCTATAAAATGAATTTCCAATGAAGCCAAATAAGAGGGGATTATATCAAAATAATTCTGCCCTCATAAATGCATGAATATCGTTATTGCAGAAACATGGCAGTACTTGAGAGAATTTTTTAAAAAGTGAGTTCTGCCTTCTTGCTCACTTGATCTTGCCTTTTCTTGCCCTTTCACCTCTTGCCATGTGATTACATAGCATGAAGGTGAATGCTAGAGGCCAGTGCCATGCTCTTGGACTTCCCGGCATCAGAATGATGAGGCTTAAATTTCTTTTCTTTATAAGTTACCAAGTGTGTGGCACTTTGTTATAAAACACAAAACAACTAAAACAGGGAAACAATATGACCTGCTTATGTTTTCTTCAGAAATAAATGTAACCGGGCTCGGTGCCTCAGCCTGTAATCCTGCGTCTTTGGGAGGCTGAGGTGAGTGGATTGCCTGAGCCCACGGGTTCGAGACCCACTTGGGCAAGCGAGACCTCATCTCTACAATAAATAAAACATCAGCCGGGCATGGTAGCATATGCCTGTAATTCTGGCTACTCGGAAGGCTGATGTGGAAGGATCACCGGAGTCCAGCAGTTCAAGGCTGCGGTGGCTGGGAGTGGCCACTGCACTCCAGTCTGGGTGACAGAGTGAGACTCCAACTCAAAAAAAAAAAGAAAGAAAGGAATGTGATGTGTGTTTAACCTAAGCAGCAAAGTTTTCAATGAGTGGGATTTAGAGGCAAGCCAAGAGTAGGTAGTAGTGAATGAAGTTTGAGTCAACTGATCTACAGTTTCTTCCAGATCATAAAATAGTTTTTCTAATACTGCACACTCCGGGTTATCTGTTGGCTAAGTTTATAACATTGAGAGTTATCTTAAATTCACTATAACTAAATATGCTGGTAAATAATTTGTCAGATAATTGCATCAAATTTTTCTTAGGAGAAGCATAACCCCCAGACAGAATTCACTTTTGAAAACCTGGTATGCACAGTAGCAGATGTATTTGTTGCTGGAACAGAGACAACAAGCACCACTCTGAGATATGGACTCCTGCTTCTGCTAAAGCACCCAGAGGTCACAGGTATGACCAAAGATTATGAGCAAAATGAATATCAGAAAGATATTGATAATATGTTGCTAGTGTCTTCCAACCGATTTATCATTATTTAAACTTCTATGTCGCCAGGTATATTCTGTCTAAATTTAATGATATCACAAAAATGAATATCTTTGCAAAGTAGGGAAGCATGACAGACAGAAGAAACAAAATATTGCACAAGGAAAAAACTGTAACAGAGCACTAGTCAGATTCTAGGTTATATGGTCATTTATTAGTGTGAGGCAGAGTCAGAAACAATTGCCTGAAATTGCATATGGGTTTTATTATTAAAAGTGTACATTGAACAGTAGGTTATATTTTTGAAGAAAACTTTTCTCTTTCTGAAAATTCCAAATTTCTGAAACACGGAGAGCAGAGGGAAGGGCTAATACTGATTCATCACAGAGGCTGAAGTTATAGCCTAAATATCAAAAAAGAAAGATTTATCAAGCAAGAAAATCTCATCCGTGTCCATACAATTCCCATAAGTTTCAGAATATGGAGGTGTCATGGCAAAGAAGGTAGAGGATTAGGCTCCTTCTGCACAAGTTTCCTTTTCAGCTCCCCTCATCAGGTAACTAATTCTCCCCCACTGGAGAAGGGAAGCTCACTCTCTAGAGAAACTGAGTCTAAGAAGCCCTGTACTCAGGGACATTCGGTAGTATCAGAAAAGGAATGAGGCTTAAGGCTAGAAGGAAATGTTTTCTAAGGTTCCACAATTTGATTTCTGATACCCTTAGCATCATGCTCCATCTTGCTTACTGAATTCAACAGCCAGATCTATTTACCAGAGAGAAACAGCTCCTGAGAAAAGACATTGGTATTTTACAATCTTAATAGAAATATATTTACAGTTTCTAGCAGAGTAATAAAATAAAACATTCCAAAACAAGACACAAGGTCATGAAATTTCTGGACACCAGAATTTAAGGAAAAAGTTTTAAAACTATTAGATATATATATCAGGTCATATATAAATGATTATGAGACAGAACGCACCAAAATGCTCAAGCATAATTATTTTGCTCTGTATTCACAGAAAATTGATCATTTTACCTGCAAATTTAATCCTCTATTTTCCTTTTTTCCAATACTGGAGGTTGTGTTTCAACCAAATGTCTGTAGCCAAGTCAGAGGAACTCATGACCTTCAGGAATCAAGACACCCCATGTGGGAGAATGAAAGTGTTAGGGAGACTGCCGGGCACCTAACCTAGAAAACAAGAATTTCAAAATGGACCAGTTGGATGATTCAGGTGTGAGAGGAGACACCAAGAACAAAAGAGGGTTGATTGATATCTGAGGTTGCCCAATAACTGGAAAATTATTACTAGAAATTTGAAACATCTACCTAATCAAATCTGAACACAATTCTTGTCTTCAAGAAGAATTGGGAAATATGTAATTTATAAATTCAAGTACAGAGACGCTGTTAAGTCTAAAAAGTACAAAAAGTGAAACATATTCGTAGTTATCTTAGCAAGTTGGAATCTATACATAGTCATAATGATGTAAGTAATGAATATTAATATAATCAGAATTTGTAGTATAAATATATTCTAGTAAAAGTATAGAAGATTTTGTGTGTGTGTGTGTGTGTGTGTGTGTGTGTGTGTGTGTGTGTGTGTGTACCTGTCCTTGGGTGCCTGTCTATATGGAATGGGAATAGAAGTGAAAATTCCTATTAAATATTGTCGACAAAATTTCTATAAATGGCTGGGCAAAAGATGAAAACAGAGAGTTGGTATTTTAAAAATAAATATAAATTTTAAAAGAATCTGCTAGAATGCCCATAGTGGCCATGGGAAGTGGAAAGGTGAAGACAGCATCACTGCAAATTGCACGTGCACACATACACACACACACACACACACACACACACACACACACACACACTCACACACACACACAAAAACCATATATGTATATATATTAGATCATTATAATTTAAATTTCATATATTATTGATAAAATATATTATCTATTCTTGTCTTTCTCCAAGTATTGTGATTCTTTGACTTAACTGCATTGTTTTTCCTTCTGAAATATTTTATTATTTCTATTTCTGTTAGTAGTCATGTATATACCTAATTAATAGGTATATACTAACGCATTTTAATTCATAGTTTGTACGAAAGATGTATGTAAGCCAGGCTCGGTGGCTCAGTCTGTAATCGCGCGCTTTGGGAGGCTGAGGTGAGTGGATTGCCTGAGCCTGAGGGTTCGAGACCCACCAGGGCAACTTGGTGAGACCTCATCTCTACAATAAATAAAAAAAAAAAATCAGCCGGGCATGGTAGCACGTGCCTGTAATTCCGGCTACTCCGAAGGCTGAGGCGGAAAGATCACTGGAGCCCAGCAAGTCGAGGCTACAGTGGCCAGGAGCAGCCACTGCACTCCAGTCTGGGCGACAGAGTGAGACTCCAACTCAAAAAAAAAAAAAAGATGTATGTATTCATAGTATGACAGTTTTCTGTATAGATGTAGGTATTACATTGGGCATATTACCCATGTTTATAATGCTGTAGGGACACCTTCATCATACTCTATGAAACCTTGAAATGCTACAACAAATGTACCATTTTTCTCCTTTTCCGTTATTTCTTACTTGGGTCTTAACAGCCAAAATTCAAGAAGAAATTGACCGTGTGATTGGCAGACACCGGATCCCAAGCATGCAGGACAGGAGCCTCATGCCTTACACAGATGCTGTCATGCACGAAATCCAGAGATACATTGATCTTGTCCCCACCAGTCTTCCCCATGCAGTGACCTGTGACACTAAATTTAGAAACTACCTCATCCCGAAGGTAAACTTGTTTCTTCTACACTGCGCTTCTGTGCTTTTTAAATTCCCAAATTCTCAGTATAACTCCAATCTTCTACCAACACTAGATGAGAAAATAGAAAAACTCATAGGTGTGCCAACTTGATGGACTTTCTGCTGTTTCATTTAGGGCTATAAAGGTCTTAGGTGCTTACAACTTAAATAATTGTTTAAAGTATGAGTTGCTAAAATTCTCAAAACACTCTTCTGGGATTTTTATCAGGGGGATATTCAGTATACTGTTCAATTTGGAAAGCATCAACGACTTGACATTTTGAACTTTCAACTAGTGACTATGATTATGTTCTTCATTTACTGGGCTTTCTTCTGTTTTCTTGGTAATGTTTTGTTTTCAGTGAAGGGTTTTGAATATCTTTTGTTAGTTTTTTAATCGAAAATTAATATTTGATTGCAGTACTAAATGTTTTAAATTATTTTTTTCATTTATTTGTATCTGGCATATGGAAATATATTTTATTATTCTCATGACCTTATATCTTGCAACTTTGCTAAATTTACTAATCATTACTAGTAGTTTGTAGATTTATTTGAGATATCTATATATAGAGATATATATTCCTGCTATCTGGATTAATGATTGTTCTATTTTTTACTTTAATTCTTATGTCTTTGATTTCTCTTTGTTGATTTATTGCACTGGCCAGGATTTCCAGGATAGTGTTGAGCAGAACTGATGATAGTGGGCATCCTTGTTTCATTTCAGACCTGCTGGAAGAGGTGGAAGTTTAATATTCCACTACTGAGAATGTTTTCAGTAGATATTCTTTATCTGGTTAGAGAATTTCAAGAGTTTGTCTTATTTGTATATAATTTTTTATCATGAGTATGTATAACTATAATTATATACAATTATTCAGAAAATTAATTATCTGAATCTAGTTTATAAATATTGGCCTCACTTTCCTCACTATGTATACATAAGTATACATGCAGATGAATTAGCCCTGCCTCATATTTTTTAGGACTTCTGATTTATATTCATTAAAATTTTTGATCTGCAGTTTTCTTCCTCAAAACTTTCTTGTCAACATTTTGATATCAGGTTTATGGTGACCTCATTCAACGAGGTGAGAAATGTTCCCTAATGTGAGTCTGTTTTTACCGACTTCCCTTCCTCCTAGGGTATTTCTTGTGACCGCATAGTTGTATCTTTGACATGCCTAGCAACTTTTAGTTAAATATGAGATATTATATTTTTTTTAAAAATTGACTTCAGAGGATGTGAATCTTCTTCCAGAAAGGATCCGTTCGTCTCTCATAGGCTGTCATAATTATTTAAAACCACTGCTATGATTCAGAATTGGTCAAGATATAAACACAACCAAAACTTGACCATATTAAAAGAAAAAAGAAAATTGACTATAAAAGTTAGTTTAGGTCTCTGAGGTTCCTTCTTCTCTGAAAGATATATATATATATATATTCACACACAAACACACACACACACACATACACACACACACATACACACACACACACACACACACACACACACACACACACGTATTTTAGTTGGAGTCTCATTCTTTGTTGCCCACACTGGAATGCAGTGGCATGCTCACAGCCACCACAACCTTGACCTGCTGGGTTCAGGCAATCCTTCTGTCTCAGCCTTCAAAGTAGCTGAGACTACTTTACCATACTTTTAATCATATGTTTTCTGTATACCTCCTGATGTTTTAGATGCTATGCTATAAGTTGCTATATTCCATTTGTTATTCTTACTAAATTTAAAATTTTGAAAACTAAAAGTTGTACATTTTGAAGTTGAAAAAAAATCAGTGGGATTGATCAGGATGCAGTTACTAATATCTTCTGGAGAAGACTGACCTGATACATGATTAAGAGGTTATGAGGTTTTCCTGATTATCATTAATTTGGTACTAGGATTAGGACTTCAATCTACTGTTTTCCTCAAACGACACAACCAGATGAAGACATACTGCAGTCTATTTTTACCTCAACTGCAGTCTATTTTTACCACAACACTTTAGTATATGTGTACCAAGAACAAAGATTTTTCTCCAAAGATTATTATAATAATCACTCAGAAGCTACTGATACAATAATACTATCTAATACACAGCTTATATTTTAAATTTCCTGAATTTTCCACATCAATTTTATAGCTTTTTTCTTTAGCACTTTTCTATACAGTCAAGAAACAAGCATATCACTTGGTCATATTGTCTCTTTAAACTTCTAGTCAAAACCAGTCCTTTCCTGTGTTTGTTTCTTTTTAGTATTTTACCTTTTTAAAGAGACCAAGTCATTTGTCGTTTAAAATATTCCTGGTCTTGTGTAATTGTTTTCTGGAGATTTGGTTATTGTTATGATTTTGACAAAGATAGGTGCATAATTAATTTGAAGATTCCACTAAAACATATTGATGAGTTGGGGGAACATAATGTCCCTTATGTCATTACTAGTTCTGCTAAATTCTTCACGTAGCAAAGTGGTATCTGTCAGATGACTCCACTGCAGTTTTGCTTTTTATGTGTAATTACTAAAAGAAAAAACACCTATGGCATAGTACTTTAAAATTCTATAAAAATATTTCTTCCCAAAATCATGCAACAACGTCTTTGCTTTAAATGATAATATTTGCCCATCCTTATGATCCCGACATGCATTGTTACTTAGCAAAAATATTTCTAGTATCAACCTCTTGCTGCCTTTTAAGCTTGAATTAATCTGTGATAAAAATCTTTCTCATATTTTAAAATTAAGATAAACGTCACAGTAAGTTTATCCCTAGTGGTGGTTTTACACTTTTCATTATACTTGTTTTCATTGAAGAAGACATAATTTTTAACTAAATCATATGTTTATTTACAAAAATCTTTGAACAGATACTCTAGACATTTCAAACACCTACAAAGATTTCCATTTTAAACCACATATGCTATATATGAGATGTGTGAAAACAGAAATGTTGAATTAGAGCAGCAATTGGGGACCAACACCGTGTAGAAGTTTAGTGAGAACCAGAGGGCATTGTGAAGGTTGCACCTAAGTACCCAAGTACTCAGGACATTAAGTGCAATTGGAGAGAATTTCATCAGAATCATTGATTAAACTCTTCACTTCTTATTAGTGGGTCTTTCTAGTGAGAAATGTTCTTCCTTGGAAAAGCATTTCCTCATCTATATATCAAAAGATTCAACTAGGTGATTTCCATTGTTTCTTCCAACGGCATTGCTTTTTATAAGTTGGCTTACTTATGCCTATTATTTTCAGGGCACAATGGTATTAGCATCCCTATCATCTGTGCTGCATGATGACAAAACATTCTCCAACCCAGAGATGTTTGACCCTGGCCACTTTCTGGATAAGAGTGGCAACTTTAAGAAAAATGAATACTTCATGCCCTTCTCAACAGGTAATAGAAATTCATTTCCATTTGTAGTAAGGGGGAAAAACATGTTTTGGAAATCAATTGGTACTTACACAGTACCTCCTTCAGAGCTCGTAGAATTACTCTTAGTACATGACCAGAAATTCCACTGTCAGTGTCCATGTGTTTCTCTGTCTTCACTGGTATTCATTTTTGGTCAAATTAGTGGGGACTTGGAAAATTGACACCATTCTTCCACATACAGAAAGGTAAAGTATAAGTTGGTTGAATTCTGCGGATAAATCACTAAGATACCCAAGAGATCCTTTTAGAAGGTGAAATATCTTTAGACCTTTCTCACCTGCCATGAGGAAGGTATCTAGCAACACAACTTCACTGAGTCTCTTTCACGTGTGTCTCTTGACCCCCAGGCAGAGAGCTCTGGGGAAGCAAGCCTTCAGAAAACATAGAACGGGCAAAGGGCCTCACACAAGTTAGGGAAGTAGATGAGTAACCAGATCACTGTAATTCAGTAAGACTGGGGCTGTCAGAGAGTAAATCATACCCTGCTGGAAATAGGAGATAGAGGGACAAGCTGCCTGATTTTTGCCTTCTCATTACTCACAGTGAGGCATAAAATGGAGTAAGCTACTTGCTAGTAGCAAGTGACATTTTATCTGCCTCAAAGTAAATGAAAGGAGAAGGCAAGGCATTTTTCAAGAGGTAATGAATCACAGGAAGAAGGTATTTACTCCCAATCAAGAAAATCAAGCCTATGTCAAATAACCATGGAATCAGGCAAACACTGAGGATGTGGCAGGAGACTTTGTGCTCTCCAGAGCACTCTGCTGTTCCCCCAATTATGATAGTGCATTTTGGAACCTGGATCTCCATACCTGCATCGTGTGTGATGAGTCTCTGTCTATGGAATCTTCTCATTTTATTCTGTGACCTTTGATGTCCGGTTTATATCTGACACTAAGATGCAAAGATGAAAGGGAGGGAGATTTCCCTTCTAGAATTCACATTTCAGTAAAAATGAATAATAGTAATTCATTTATTTGATAATGATTCATGGAATGATAAAGTAAACTAGAAATGATTATTTCAGGTGATCCATGCTCCAATGGAAGCACAACTATGCTGCTGAGAAAACCTAGGCGGACATTTTTTTACTTCAGAGGATCGCAAGGCATATAAGGAGGACATACAATTTGACCTATGTGTTAAATGTGCTATAACAAATGCTCTTCTTGTCCAAAAGGAACAGCATAACATAAAACTTGAAACTTCATGGTGTGATGGAGATTGTTGAAGAGTGTGTAAGGCTACAGCTGAGACAGGCGTGGTAAAGAGTAGAAGAAAAGAGCATTGGATATCAGGCTGGGAAAAGGAGACACAAGAATGTGGATCTGTTTTTATAAAGACATAGGTGGAAACTCAAAATGTTAAAAGAGTGGTTATAATGTAGGAATACATCGTGAACTGCTTGGTATGAAGGTGAAACCCACAAACACTCAGAATGAAATGTGTCTGCTAAGATCGGATGTTATTCAGTTAGAGAGTTTGCTGATTTTTGTTCATTTTTTAAATTCAACCAGCCTTATTCATTCACCCATTAATGTATTCACCCAACCTTTATTCCGTCAGTCCTGCATATTCTGTTTTTGTCAATCACAAACTCAGTGTTTGTCACATAGTTACACAGAAGGATAACTATTTTCTGTGTTTGTTTATTTGCTTTTTTAGGAAAACGGATTTGTGTTGGAGAGGGACTGGCCCGCATGGAACTGTTTATATTCCTGACTGCCATTTTACAGAACTTTAACCTAAAATCTCTGATTGATCCAAAGACACTCAATACCGCTAAAACTGGAAATGGGATTTTTTCTATACCACCCTCATACCAAATCTGCTTCATTCCTGTCTGAAGAAGGAGAGACCATCTTGCTACCAATATGTTGTCACCAACAACTCTTCCGGATTGGGCTTATTTCCCACTCTTGGGAGCTCTTCTCTGGTATCTCCTCTCACATGTTCCATTTTCTCAAGATCCAGTGAACATCCGACTTCCATTAAAGAGGGTTTGTCAGATCAGATCACTGCAAAGTATATGTGCTATGTATATGGCAGGAGTGGAACACTTTTGTGATGGCCATATTTGCTTATACTTATCTAGTGCTGATTTGTTAATATGTTAACACTATAAAACTGAGAAAAAATAATTTCTGTATGATAATTCAGATGCATTCTGAGTCTATGGTCTGTGTATGCTCCAAGTAAAAAAGTTATTCTTTTCTGGATCAGTTTTCATACTTTCATTCTTTTGTGCATGAAACAAATAAGAAAGTTAAAAAAGTAGAGTCCCAGGAGGTCATGCTGTCTTTATAAAGATAAGAACAGAGGGGGACCAGGCTCAGTGGCTCAGCCTGTAATCCCAGCATTTTGGGAGGTTGAGGCAAATGGATTGCCTGAGCCCCAGGGGTTTGAGACCAGCCCCAGCAACTGGCGAGACATCCTCTCCACAATAAATCAAAAATTAGCCAGGCGTGGTAGCATGCACCTGTAGTTCCGGCTACTTGGAAGGCCATTTTAAAGAAGTGGAGTACAATTCAGGGTTGGGTACATTAGTGGCCATCATACAGATGAAGTTTGGGCCTCTCATTGGTCCTCACTATGCCTGGTTTATCATCAGGTACCCTTATTCATGTTATGTGCCCCCTCTCCTTCCCTTCCCTGGCAGTGTCCCACTACTCCTCAACCTTTTCTTGTAGTGTTATGATAAATGATCAGGGGTCCACTTATGAGTGAGAACATGTAGTACTCAGTTCTTTGTTTCTGTGATAGATCACTGAATATGATAGATTCTAAATCCATCCAAGTTGCTGTGCTGTCCATACTTTTGTCCTTCTTTATGGCTGCATAATATTCTGTTGTATATATGTACCACATTTTCCCCTCTGATTCTTTTATTCTGTTAAAAGAAAGACCCAGGCAGCAGTTTCATTTCAGTAAAAGGACAAAGGAGCAGAGCAGGAACACCTATCACTCAAGGAATGAAATGATTGCTCTAAAGAGAGTAATTGAGCTCTTTTCCTCCAAATAAACTTATATGGATCTTTTGGAGTTTACTGCTTTGTGTGTCAGGCAGGAAATAGCGTCGTCTTTTTGCCCTTCAAAAAGGGATCACCAGGACCTGGGCTCATTCACATTTTAAAGATTAAAACCAAACTCTTCTGAACCCCAATTTACTCTATTGGTGCTATAATTATTAACTAAATTTAATGTTTATTTTGAAGAGTACTGATTTGACTGATTCTCAAAACACTAATTCCAGTACACAATAAGTAAACCTGAATGGTTTGCATGGTGGGAAGGATACAAGATGCAGGAGTTATAGGTTCCACCTTCAACTCTTTCATCCTCAGCTATGTTGTGTGTCCTTGACACAAGTACTGAATTTCTAGGCTCAATATTCTCTTCCTTAAAATGGGAATAATTTTTCCTTAGGCAAAGGGCAACTAAAAGAATCAAAAGTTATGGGTATGAAGATTCTCAGCAAATTTTTTAGAATCCCTGTATACTTGTGCTATGTTGTATAGTTGTATCATGACATTACTCGATTTTTCTGAAGAAAAAGCTGGAAACACCTCATGAATCAACTTGGAAGAAATTTGGTATCTTTACATAACCTGCATTAACAGAAACATTGTCATAAGTGAATAAATAATGTCTGATAGCCCAAGTGTATTCAGATCCTCATCACTGCTAAATGTTGGATCCCATCCAGGTCTCCATACTGTGATGATTCTGTGTTCAGGGTCCCTTTAATGATTTCCCAAACTTCTGTCCTTTATTGAATCCACAACTGTTGTTCTGTCTATAATTTCCCTGAGTTATGAAGCATTATTACATTCTGTTATTTTTCATGCTGGCACAAAAACAGCATAATAGCCATGCTGGAGGTGACTGGAAGGTGGAGAAGCCATAATTTCTCAATGTCCCACTAAAGTCAGAGATTGCCTTTTCCCTCAAGTGCACTGAGCAACTTTCACCAGTCCAGTGATGCAGAAGGAATAACTCTTTTATTTCTTCTCTTGAACACCCCTAGACCTGTTATCTTTGTAGACAAATGAAGGATTTCTATTTAACGTGAAGCCTGTCACTTTATGAACTGAGACAATGTGGAGTATATTCAGAGTAAATAATGTTTGAGGGTTTGTTTTATTTTGTCAAAGACTTCTTGAAGCAGTTCTCATGTAACTGATAATGCAACCAATGGGCATCAGAAAATCTCAGTTCACATCCGAGTTTTGCCAGCTATGAGCTGTGTGACATTTCTGGTCTCCTGTTCTCTCAGTCTCTGTACTTGAAAAATAAACAATGGTTAAACTCCATCATCTTGGTTTTCTTTAACTTAATCAAGAAAGGTGTATAAAGTTATTAGCAAATAACTAAATGTATGCTTGGTCATTCACCATGTAGGAACTATTTTAATTATCTCATGGTTAAGTAGCCATATTCTTAAAGGATATTAAATATTTGAAAGGATTTTGCTATCAAGGACAAAGTTTCCTAATGCTTAACATAACATTACAACAAACTTTTAAATATACAAGACATAGATTTCACTGATTTCACTCAAAGAAATACAACCCAAACTCGTCATTAGACTGAGATATTAAATTTTAAAAATTTTTAAAAAATTTTTATTTTTTAAATTGTGGGTGCAATTCAGGGTTAGGTATACAAATATTCATTCTGCAGTTACCCTTGTTGATGAGGTGTGCCCCCCCTTCCCTAGACAGTTTCCCACTATTGCTGATCCCAACTCCCAGCTCCCCCGTGCCCCTGCAATTTCCTGCTACTGTCAATCTTTTTCTTATAGTATTATGATTACTGTTCAACGTCCACTTATGAGTAAGAACATTTGATACTCAGTTCTTTGTTTCTGTGAAAGATCACTCAGTATTATAAACTCAGTTCCATCCAGGTTGCTGCAAAGTTCATGATTTTGCTCTTTTTCATGGCTGTGAAATATTCCATCGTGTATATGTACCACATTTTTTAAATCCAGTCCTCTTTTGATGAACAGCATGGTTGGTTCCATGTTCTTGCTATTGTGAACAATGCTGTGATAAACATACATGTGCAGGTATCTTTTATATAGAGTGATTTGACTTCTTCAAGGTATTCCCAGTAGGGGGATTGCAGGGTAATATGGAAGGTCAATTTTTAGAACTATTAGGAATCATCACATTGTTTTCCACAGAGGCTATACTAGTTTACACTACCATCAACAGTGTAGAAGTGTTCCCTTTTCACCACGTCCTCTCCAGCATCTGTTATTTTTTGAGTTATTGATGATGGACATTCTGACTGGAGTTAGGTGGTATCTCAGTGTAGCTTTAATTTGCATTTCTTTGATGACTAGTGAGGCTGAACATTTTTTCATGTATCTGTTGGTTGCTCATATGTCTTCTTTTGAGAACTGTCTATTCACATCTTTTGTTCACTTTGTAATGGGGCTGTTTGTTTTTTTCTTCTCAGCACTTTTGAGTTCCTTGTAGATCCTAGATGTTAGGCCTTTGTCAGACATAGAGTTGGCAAGTATTTTTTCCCAGTCTGTGGGCTGTCTCCCTGCTTTCTTGATGGTCTCTTTGGCTTTGCAAAAGCTTGTCATTTTGATAAGGTCCCACTTGTCTATCATATCTCTTATGGCATGGGTACTTGTGGATTAGACCACGAATTGGTTGCCAGTCAAATTTCCATAAGACTGTCTCCTGCATTTTCTAGGGTTCTTATAGTTTGAGGCTTTACATTTAAGTCTCTGATCCATTTATAGTTGATTTTTGTATATGGGAATAGGTAGGGATGCTGTTTCAATCTTCTGCATGTGGTCAGCCAGTTTTCCCAGCACTATTTACTGAATAGGTTCTCTTCTCCCCAGTGATTGGTGGTGGAGGCTTTGTCAAAGATGAGTGTGTTGAGAACTTGAGGTTTTGCTTCTGGAATCTCAATTCTATTCCATTGTTCTATATGCCTGTTCTTGTAGCAATATCAGGCTGTTTTGATTATTGTAGATTTATATTAAAGTTTAAAGTCTGGGAGCTTGATACCTCCTGCTTTGTTTTTTTGTTTGTTGTAGGTTGAGGATTGTTTTGGCTATTCGTGGTCATTTATATTTCCATATGATTTCTGTATTGCTGTTTCTAGGTCTGAGAAGAATGTTGCTGGTAATTTGATGGGCATTGCATTAAATCTGTAGATTACCTTAGGTGGAATGGACATCTTAACAATGTTGATTTGCCAATCCATGAGCATGGAATATTTTGCCACTTGTTTGTGTCATCTTTCATTTCTTGAACAGTGTTTTATAGTTTTCATTGTAAAGGTCTTTCACATCTCTGGTTAGGAAGATGCCAAAGTATTTCATTTTTTGTATGTGGCTTTTGTGAATGGAATTGTGCTTTTTATTTGGATTTCTGTTTATTTATTATTGATGTATAGGAATGCAATTGTCTTTTGCACATTTATTTTACTCCCTGAGACTTTGCCAAAGTCCTTCATCAGTGCAAGGCTTTTGACAGATTCTCTTGGGTTTTTGAGGTATAGAATCATGTCATCTGCAAAGAAGGATAACTTGATATCCTCTTTTCCTATTTGGATACCCCTATGTTCATCAAGTATATTGGTTTGTAGTTCTCTTTGTTGGATCATTTCCTAGCTTGGATATCAATGTGATGTTAGCTTCATAAATGATTTGGAGAGAGTTCCCTCTTTCTCTTTCACCTTGAGTACTTTCAATAGGAATTTTATCAGTTCCTCCTTATATGTTTTGTTGAATTCTACTGGAAAACCATCTGGTCCAGGGTTGTTTTTTTTTGTAGGTAGTTTTCTTATGACATAGTCAATTTCCCAGATTGTTATT